TTCTGTTGACATTTGAATTGGGGACCAAGGCTATATTAAATATCAAACTGACGGCAGGTGTCGGGCAGCGCGTGGTTTTTCATCTTTGATTGCCTTAACCGCTCAAAACCAACTGACAAAAGGTTGATGGCATTTTATTTCTTTCTTTTTTTTAGCTACAAAAAAAACCCACAACCAATTTTCATTTAAAATTGCTGAACTAAAAGCTTGCGAGCAGCAGCTAGTATAAAGCCAATCAAGTCTAGCCAACAATAGCTGCAAATATCCCTGAAAAGGGCTGAAACCACATCAATGATGCGATTAGAGCTTTCAGCTCTCAATTTTCCCTTTGGCCATGCACTCAACCGAAACAAAGTTGCAAAAATGTTCTCGACCGGCAGCTTGATGTGAATGACAAATGCCTCAGCTTGATTCAAACAAAGAATGCAGCACAATTGGGCATCAATCAAGCGCAAAATTGATTAGTTCGACTTTTGAAAGCAGCCACGCACTATGAGGGGGCGTCACACTGTCCATCTCGTACGACCGTGCAGCGTCAAGTTGCACATATTTTCCAACACATTTGATGCGCTTCATTGCTATTAATGAGCAACGACACTCGGCTACAAAGTCAGAACAAATGTTAAATGTCAGCCCGCGTGCCCTAAAAACGGAAAAGCTATGTGTATTCCATGAAGAATCCACACGAACGTACGCTTAGTTCATCAGCTTATAAAAAAGTTGCGATTTTAATTAAAATATGTGCCGCACTAGACTTTGATGAATGGACGTTCCAAGATATGTATATAGTTTTTAACTTTTTAGAAAAACGCAAATGGACACAAATGACAGCAACACTTTAATATTCACACAAATCGTATTTAAAAAAAAAAAAAAAAACATTTTTAATGGATAATATTTTGTTTTAATAACTTAAATACTTTCATAGATATCACTATGAACCATATTTGAGAAAAATTTAAAAATTATTTTTGTATTTAATTATATTTTTAAATGCAAAAAAAAATATTTTAAAATGGAAATAGTGTAGGAAATATTACAAGAAATAGCTCTAATAAATATCAAATATCAATATAAAAAATCTGTCAATATTAAAGCTGTCAGCAAGACATAACAATATAGAATCTGCAAAAAATATACAACGAACTACTTTTTAAAGAATTTATAAAGAATTTAAGCCAACGCACATGTTCGCTGTTTGCGTTATTTCAGTGCACCTGCTAGGCTTAAGAAGGAAAGACTCTTTGATTGATGCAGCAATGAACGTGTCATTCCCAAAAACTTAGCATACATTCGAAGGACACTTAACATGGCACACGCGCCTGACCATTCATTGAATCCATTTCCGGCAGCAGCTGCAACAACAAAAAAAAAACAAACGGCAACAGTAGCAGCTAGTTGCCATTTGCCATTTGCGCCACGTGGCACTTTTTGGCTTGCTCAGTAAAGAAGACAATTTTATATTTCATGCCTGCAGCGTTGTGTGCGACATGTGCAGCAAAATGGCGCCGCGGGCATCAAGTGTACATATATTCGCGCCCCCCGGCACACGCGCTGCTTTTATTGCTACTGTTATGGTTTAGTTGTTGCAGCGGAAATGCACTTGAAAGTGCTCACAGATTTCCGGCTTGGCTGCTTCTTACAATTTCACTTGAACAACCCGACTCTTAAGACAGAAATCGCACGTCTTCTTTAATACGCAAAACTATTGCAAATGGCGAAATTGCACAAATGCGATTTAAATGTCCATAATGGCAAGAGGGGAAGTCGCATTTCCGGTCACGTTGTCGCATCGCAAATGAGTCCAATTAGCAGAGCAGCTTAGCTTAAGCTGTGGCTCTTAGTTTAAGCCAAGATGAAAGAACACACACACAGAGCTAGAGAGAGAGAATGCCAGGCCCGGAAAATGCCAGTTTATGGCTCTGTTTACAACATTCCCTCAATGACAGGGTGTGATACTTGCGTAATTTATGAGCATGACATGCGGCGTGCACCCTTTGACTGCGCACAGATTCACCCCGCCCGAAGCAAGCGTTGTGTGAAAACCAAACCAAAAAATGTTTCGCATAAAAGTATGCATTAAAGTTTTATATGTCACTCATACGCCATGTTGCACTTTCCTGTTTCAGCTCAGCCACAGAACATTTTTCGAAGTGTTCCTGTGAGATTGTGCCACAGAAGCAACGGCATCTGGCTTTTTGCAGGCAGCTTTTATGCCATTTTTTATAATTTGATATAAAAAGAAGCAACAGCAACACAACAGCATATTCTAGGGAAAACTGTTTACCAGCCACTTGATAGCAAATGCGCATATCAGAAAACTTTTTTTGTTAATTTAGTGGAAAATGGGATGTCGTTACGAACATTTATCTCGGGGCAAGCAGTTGTCGAGCAGGGAGGAAGCGAATGAGAGAATGACCGAGAGAAGGAGTTAGGGAAGCGAGAATGAGGGGCACATAAATGTAGTTAGCAAGCAACACGTGCCACTGAAAAATGACAGCGCATGTGGCAGATATTTAACTGAGGGGTCATGTTTTAATACCTCATCGGGACGCATAGAACTGACAAGGGTCATGATATGAGATGATGTGGCCAGCTATAACAGCTAGGAAGTGCGCGATGAGTGATGAACGACACATGTTGCGTTTAAACACATAAAAAACGTATAAAAAGCGCCGGGGTGGATTCAAAAATGCTACAAATTATATATACAATTTTTAATTTATGTTAACTGTAAATATATTTTAATGAAGCAAAAACAAGACTAGTATAAATAGTTCACCCAATTCAAAGTATGCAAACATAACTGAGATGTATGTCAGTACAAATAAAAATAAAAAGTCGAACGCGTAAAAAAAGGTTGCATATCAGTTTCATACCACGACCCGAATAATAAATTAGAACCAGTTACCCAATCTATATCCGATCCGCAGCATAAATCGAACGAAAAATGGTTAAGAGTATAAAGCTTTCAGGGGAGACCCAAACTAGGGGCCGAACTTTTGTGTTTATCTAAACATATTTGATAGATCTATAATTTGAAAAACTTAAAAAATAAATTAATTATTTTATTACAAATACACAAAATAAATTTATGTGTCGGATATGTAGGTTAAGTTTTATGCAGCGAACCTTATGTAAGGTTTGCATTATTTTTTTTTTTTTAGTTTGCAGCCTTATATAAGACAGCGCAAACTCAAATATTTAAATGAAAATTAATTCAACAGCGTCAAGATATTGAAACTCAATCTTTTTAACCATATTAACATTTAATACAATTAATGTGTTAGAACGACGCATATTCAAGCTACAGTGATACTTTTCAATTGAACTTCCAACTATGTTCTGTTAGTCCCATAAACAACATACCAACTATTTTTATCCGAACGGAAAGTGCTTTGCGACAGTTCAGCCAATTAAGCTTCCAGTAAGATGTTGTTGCATCTTTCAGACGATTTCTTAAGGTTTCTTGGTTTCGATTACCTCAGCTACGTCTTAGACGTGTTAATCTTGCTGCTAGGGCTGTCTGGACAGGCGTTAGGCTTTAGCTCTGCGATTCGATGAGGTGAAGCTAAAAATATGATGCTGTCTAACATGTTTATTATACTGAATTGCTGTCGTACAACCGTGAGCGTTGAGCCGTCATTCATATAAGCGTTAAGTGAGGTGTTTGTCTAACTGGCGGCTGTTAGAGACAGATGCTGTGCTTACTCATAACACATTACATTTGTATATTTTTCACTCTAAACGTAAATTATAGCACTCATACGCACTCTTGACATGTCTGTCAATGCCTAGTGGCAAGGCTGCGGCCAAAGCTGATTACAGGATACGCAAACGTATTGCCGTCAGCGCAATACAAACACGTGGCTCCAACAACAGTCACTGCGGCTGACAGTTGGTAGCTTTACATTGTTTATTTTACCATACAAACGTTTACATATGATTATGCAGTCCCTCTAACTAGCGGCAATACCACGCCCCATTCACACATGCACACGCAAACGCCCCATTGAAACTGTCGCGCTTTGGCCCAGCGCAGATGCGAGTTTAGCCTCACCTTTTGCCATATTTATATTTTCAATTTTCCCTGGCGCGTGTCTCCTTCAACGTTTTACACGTGAGTCGAGTAAAACACGTTTTGCTAACGTACTGTAGAAAGAGGAAAGATTCCACAAATAAAAAGCCCTGAAAATTAATGTGCATATTTTCATGACAGGCAACAATTTGCATATCAAGTGCCCGTAGCATACAACTCCACAGCGAATACTACAAAATGTATATTTTTCAGTAACATTTGCGCTCAGGCCAACTTAACATGAAAGAAAAATAATAAGTAATAAAATTTTATTGTTGTTTATATGCATGAATTTTGATTGCCGTCTTACAACTATAGAAACTGGCAGGGCCAAGCTAAAAGATTAAAGTGTAAGTTTGTAGAAATCATACTCAAACGGTTTTAAATCAGTCTACAAACATTGCCGTTGACATTTAAATGTAAGGCGTAACCATTTTTAAGCAGATGTTGTGTTGCTTAAAGAAACTAAAAATAAGAAGGAAATGTGAAACTGTGAATGTGAAAATGTGGATTGCAGTCCACTAAAAAGAGAAGTGCACAGATGCCAAAACTTGTGTTAAAAATAAAATATAATTTTAATATAATGACAATCACAATATAATAATAAAAAGAAAATATAAGTATATATATAATAATAATAAAATTAGTATGTTTCGCAAAATTTACATTTACAATTCTTACATTTAAATAAACGAAACAATTTTTACAAGTTTTTAGTTATGGAGTAATACCAGTATAAAAAACAAAAATACATTTTCAAATAAGAAATATCTCTGGGAACAGCCATATTTTGCAGTATTACATTATAACTTTTGCTGGTTTATCGAATATCGATGTTTCCAAGATTAATATGTCAAATATATATATATATATATAATATAATATATATATATGATGTCTTTGAAAAGAGAAATAAGGTATATGGAAATATGTTTAAAAGAAATATGATTCCGTATGATGATATTAAACTGAGAATAACTGATAAAAGCCAAATCTGAACTTTAATAATATCTAGATCATGAGTTTAAGGCCCTATAAAGCCCATTCGGGCCTACCCACTTTTGTTAACTGGCCAGCCGCTCACGCTTTGTGTTAGTATATTTGTAAAGGTCACCGGCTATTCTTTTGTTTTAGTCAACCACCAAGGAGCCCCGGGCAGAGGGACAAGCATAACAATGCTGTCACGCAGCACCCACACGAAGAAGCAAAACATTCAGCCACGTGCTTAAGCGCTTCTGGGCAATAAATAAAAAGTAAATACCACAAAATTTGATTATGATTTTTTTTTATTTTTTATTTTTGTATCCTTAGTTTTCCGTGTTTTTAAACATTTCACACACAAAGTCCATTCAAATTATTAATTTACTGAAACCAAAACAAAAAGCAGAGAACAATCAACAATTCAACCAATTTGAACGAGTGCACAAAAATAATTTCGCGGAGCTTACATACAAAAAAATGTAAACAAAACCAACAAGGAACGAGGGGTATCCGAAAATGTTTCTGAGCGTGGAAAGTCTTAATACTCTTCTTGAGATACTTTTTATAACTCCTTAATTATTCTATAAAAATTGTGATAAAGTTTTATATACTTTACTTAAACAGAATAGAATTGTATCTTGCTGACGCTTTTAAATACAAATATTTATTTAAAATAACTCTGTTTTCTACCAATAATGGCAAAACGGTTCGTTAAAATAAGTTTTTCGAGCTTTATTTCATAGAAAATGCTAAAGGTTTTAAGCCCGAATAGCTCGATTATTTTTGTATAATTGGTGCTTCATTAAAAAATAAAATAAAAAATAAAAAAACATTTTAAGTAGAATATGCGTTAAGCCTGATAAATCAAAAAAAAAAAACATCAAAGTTGATTCAAGTTTCAAATTTCTTAAAGCTAGAGTGCTAAGGCTTAACATTTCAAGACGAGATCAAACAAAATGGAGAGAAAACACATTTGGCTGAAAATCAGAATAATAAAAAAATAATTTAAAATTTCTCTCATTTATAACTGGTATTACCGTATTTTTATGACTGCTCAGCTTGAACTGAGCGAAATTTTAGATTTTTATCTCTGTGTACCAACAAAATAGAGAACTAAACTAATTTTATTAAAAGAATAAAATATGCTTATTTGCGTAGCATCGTGGGCCACTACGATATATATAATACATGCATATAGAAACAACGGTCTCTATGTAAAAGTCTTCTCATTAAAGGACTAACTTCATCAATATCGATTCATGGAATATTTATAATTTACGTATTGTGTAATTTTTTTTTAATTGCGTAACATGTTTTCCAAATATATCATAGTGCCCAACTCTTTGCATGCAGCAACTCTATTTTTTTTTTTTGGCTGATTTTTCTGTTTTCCGCCAACGTCGAGTTGCAACGTCGACCGAGTTAAGGGCACAATGCGCCCACTTTGCTGGGGAACTTTATTTACTTATTTGGCACAGCAAGCAACTATGAAAACAACAACATGCTTTACAAAATACGTGAAAGGAAAATAACAAAATAACAACTATAACAATTGAGTCAAATTTGACCCTAACAAGGGGCAACTGAGTGCGCCTGCCAGCCGCAGGAGGCTCGTCCTATTTTTGCTTCATAATTTTACGTTGCATAATTTGGGGCCTATTCCTTGCATGCATAACAATTGACAAACCTGACAGCATGGCTCAGCAGGATTTATATGCCACTGGCCACTTTAACTGCCACGCCCACTTGTCCCACATGGCATACCAAGTATTTTATTAAAGCAATTATGTGTGGCAATAACACAAAAACATGTATACATACATACCTACATGTTCATAAGCATCAAGTGAGTGTTGTAACTGTACACTTGTGTTTGCACACAGGTTGTGTGTGTGCTAGCGTGTGTTTGTGTGTAATTGCTGTTGTCAAGTATTTGTGTTTGTCAAGTGCCTACAACAACGTTGGTGCTGCTATGTTAGCAATTTAAAAGCTAGCATAAAACATTTTAACAACAATTTGTAGAAAATATAGCAAGATATTACATATATTATTATTTCCTATCTGTGGCGACATTTTAAATATTTTTTAAATTTATTTTAACTCTTAATTTCTCTAGAAGCCTCGGCAAAGCGAATATAACCAGGTGGTAACCTAATTACAAGCTGTCAAAATGTTACATCAAATTTTAAATATGAGATTATGTTAATATGCATGAAGTCAAAGTTGATATAAATCACACAATACTGGATTTTAATAGAGATTAGGTGAAGTATTTAGTTTCATAGTGTTTGTTTTAAATTTGAAGCTGCTTTACCAAAGTAAAGAATTAAGATAATGATGCATTTTTGGAGGGACACTTGTCATAATGTCATATTAGGTTGCCAAACCATATTGAAAGTGTATATTTATATAAACATATATCAAGTTGGACTGTTTCTAGATAACATTTTAAATAGTTTGAACCCATTTACAGCTATTAGTTACAAACTCATTTTAAAGTCCTCTCATCACTTGCACGCGTGCAACTCATGCGTTCGTGAACAAATGCAACTTAGGAAAAACGCAACAACAAAAAAATGGAGAAAGAACCAACTACCACCCACAAAGTATGTCCGCAATGCTGTCAGTGGGGCTCCACTGAACTACACACATGCCCAACCCATTTAGTCCTACACAAAACACACACAAAAAACCTTCAGGGCTTACTTTAGTGCTGTCCCTCGACGCAATTGTTGTGGTTGTTCTTCTCGTCGCTAACACAGGGACAAAGGCATTTGGTTTGAATGTGACAGTAGCATATTTTGTTTTAGTGGCAGTTTATGCAACCAAAAAGAAGATGAGAAGAAGAAGAAGAAGAAGAACAAGTCGCCACTTGAACGGGCATTTCACCTTCGCTCAAATGTATGCTATGAATAAAGGTGCAGACGGCAAACTTAAGATACGACTTTAAGCACAAGCGCCACGATGACGGCAGGGGAGGGTGGCAGACGGTGGCAGACACGCGCGCGAAAAGCAAATCACAGTTGGCCATTCGAACACTGGCCATTATCATGGGGTATGCAACCTTAACACAAATAAACAACAGCAAAAACAACAAGACGATGCGCTGATAAACCAGCAAGCATTCAAATGCTATTTTGCTTGGCATTGAGCACGCGTCATGAGAGTCGCCTGCAAACTTGCAGATAATTGCATTTAGACGCCACCCTTGCCCCTCACCCCCTTCTTTCAAACACACGCTACTCCCCCGCCACATGCTCGCCTTGAGCGCTACCCACTCAGCGCTCCACACTTAATCAAATTGAGCGCCCAGCAAGTGTCACTGAACCTTGAAAGTGAGAGGAGCAGCAAAAAAAAAATAAAAACGAAATAAATAAAAGGGAAGAAACTGTATTATTTGCCACACAGTGCACAGTTGTAGCATTAGGTTCAAGAACGATGGCCAGGACATTCGCCTAGACACACATAAACACACTCACACCAACTCACTCACAACCAAACGAATATGCGTGAATGCTCGAATGGGATATACCCTGTTGTATACAAGAGCCCCACTATGGTGTCGGTTGGATTTATATTTCATGCCATGTTTCCAAATTTTCGAATATACCCCATTTCTCAATATTTGAAGCGAGCACGGTATGCAAAACAACGACACCATCACGTACGACATACAGTGGCTACTGAAATTAGCCGAGTCAATGGAGTGCCTGCAAGTGAGCGGGACAATTGGATTGAAATGGAAACTTAACATGGCATCAGCTGGCAACAGCTTCCAACTGCAGTGAACTTCATTGAAAGGAGTGTCAGCTGAGCTCAGCCGTGGCTATTGCTCCACCCGCAATCTCACGCGCTGAAATTTACATTTCCTGCAGTCCAGACCATAAAGTAATTTGTTTAATTCCATTAGGTTGCCTTGGCTACGTGCGCAGCATTAAAATGCCGGACCAGCGCCCAGTAAACATTGCGCATGTTGATGATGATCAGCACAGCATGGAGCTGGGTGTCCTTTTCCATGGGGCCCATGTGGCATGTTGCACTGCAAAATTGGTGCCAATTAGAGGCGCCTTGTCCGCACCATGGGGGTGTTGTCAACGCCAGACAAAACAACGCCTCGCATCAAGCTGCGTAAATCAAATGTTTTGTCTTGTTTCCTTGGACATTTTTTAGTTTTGTTTTCCTTTTCCACTCTACTTTTTTGTTTTCCTTTTTTTTTTGTTGTTAGCTAAGCGCAGTTTGTCCCTTGATAACCATATTTATGCACAAGGAGCGGTATTTTACGTATGCATACTTCCTGTATATATATATGCATTTATCTAATGAATTTTTAATGCACTTTAGCCTTGCACTTTCGGTGCGCTGCGTTGCGCAACTTGTCAACTCTGAGACGCTTACTGAGGGTCAGATGTTGTGAACAACATTGGGTGCGCCTAGGGCCAACACAATTTGCTTCCAGCTGAGACAGTGTTTTATAATAAAAAATGTGCATAAGCAGCGTTGTGCCAGGGTCATGATGATACAGGTGTTGTCAGACGCGATTGATTAGCCTTAGCATTGTCCTGTCAAATTAAATCGTCTCTTTAGGTATTTAAATCGTTAAACATTTAACGCCAGCTTAATACGATTAGTTTTCTTCAAAGCATGATTCACCACACATGTGGTTGATATACTCCCTTTTCTTTAATCAATTTAATTAACAATGTATTCGAGACACATTTACAGCCGTCCTCAGTTATTTTCTTAGAAATTATTGATAATTGATAGGTAAAGGCATAGTTATATAATTTATGGTGCTTCCTGCTAAATGAAGAGCTTTGTGGTTGTGGTATGTAATAACAATATTTAATTAAAACTGCAGCAAGTTCAATACTCAAACAAGATTAAAATTCACAAGAAATAATATGAGCCCTGCGACATTCAAATATTATGCAAAATGAGATCAGTATGCTATACTTTATTTGTTAGAAATTTGATTGTAAAATTACATTGCTTTTTTTGCATTGATTCTTATTATTTTGTTTAAATAGAAAATAAATGTATCATATATCGCAGCTGCAATTAAGTTTCTGTGTCTGTGACAGCATTGAAACTTTGCTTTCCTTTATTTCTGCGTAAATCTGCAGGCTGTAAGATTTCACATATTCTTTTAATTCAATTAAAAGTTTATTATCTGAAAAACAATTGCGGTGTTAAAAATAAATATTATTCCAAGTATTTGTTGCGCAATCCATAACTAATAACTGTTCTTTGACTTGTATAGTTAAGGAAAACATACAACATTTAAAGCACATTCCACTTTGGCCACTTTTCGTGTTGTGAAATCGAAATTGATATGATGGTCAGCTTGCACAGTTGACTCTGGGCGTGCCAATTATTTTCCCTTAGTGGACGAGTGACACTGCGCCGCATGCAACCGCAAAAGTAACAGCGGCATCGGCGACGACGCCTCAAACACACTCCATTCCCATTACCATCATATCGGGGCGGTGCTTGGACAAGTGCACTAAATAAGCCCCGACTGTACATCGTAATATGAATAATAGCAGCGCGTGGCTGACATGCTCCGCTTTTCCAGTCATTTCCAGCATGTGTGTGTGTGTGTGTGTGTG